TTATATAATTTATTTATGTAATATATGGTAACATTTTATTTTAATGTGTCATTGTTACACGTTACATGTACTTACTATTATAATAACACTTAATTATGCATAATTACATGCAAGTAACCCTAAGCCAAAACCTAATCCTAACCCTAACCATATGGTAAGTAAAGTGTAACCTAATATACTGTAGTTTTAATTACATATTCAATTCCAATAAAATTCCATATATGTGTGTGTGTGTGTGTGTGTGTGCATGCAGAATAATATATTTTGAAATCAATTTCATTTTATATTTTGACATATAAAATGAAAAAATTACAATTAAGACTAGTGGAATTTAAGTTTTAAAAATAAATTTAAATTTTTAAGTATGAATTACCCTTGTTATCATGTAACATGGAATATTTTCATACACACAAAATTCTATTAAGTTAGAGCAGTCTAGAAAATTGTAAATAATTTATTTTTATTATTAATATATGAAATTTATATTCCATTCCAATAAATGTCAGACTTTGTTCCTTGTTTTGTGTGTTTTGCTCCCCATGTGCCTTCCTTGCCCTTATTTGGTCCCCTTCCTGTTCCTGTCCTGATTATGTTCTTTAGTCCCAGCTGTCTAGTCCCAGGTGTTTCCCATGTTATTTTATGATTGTTGATCCCAGGTGTTCCTCGTCTTCCCCTCGTCCAGTCCTGTGTATTTATAGTCAATCCATTTCTAAGTTTCTTTGTCTGGTATTGAATGTTCGTCCGAGTGCTACGTGTGTTTTCCTGGTTCCCTTGTATCCATTAAAATCTCTCGATTGATGTACTCCTCGTCTCCTTCGTTCCTTGCTCCGCATTCCTCACAGTAGTGCAAACGTATAGTAGTCCAGAATACCAGACCCTACAAAAGTGAGCGGCGCATCTTCACCCCGTGTTTCTTTTCCGTTTTTTAAAGTGTTTTTGTTTTCCATGCCTTCCCCTTCCGCGATTATGGAGATCGCAGCACGTTTCATCGCCCTAGCCTGTAAGGATCTCCCCTTCGTTGAGTATGCCTGGGAGTTCTGCGGGCTCGCCGCGGCGACGGCGTTGGATGACGCCACCATCAACTCTCTGTTCTGGTATGGGGCCAACTACCATCCCCCCGTGGACCTCCCAGACACCAAGGGACTAAGCTGGAGGGAAGGGATCCTCTGGTGTCTGGAGAGGGTCCGGCCCCAAGCCAGAACCAGTCCACCGGCCGCGGCATTCTGAAGTCAAGCCTGCCGGCCGTTGCTCTCTCCAGCATGCCGGCCGTTGCTCTCTCCAGCATGCCGGCCGTGGCTCTCTCCAGCCTGCCGGCCGTTCCTCAGTCAAGCCCGCCAGCTGCGGCTCTCTCCAGCCCACCGGCCGTTCCTCAGTCAAGCCCGCCGGCCGCGGCTCTCTCCAGTGTCGGCTCCAGTCCCACAGCTCACTCCAGTGTCGGCTCCAGCCCTCGGGTTTAGCCCACTGAGGGCTCCCGTTCCCAGGTTTAGCCCACGGAGGTCTCCTGTTCCCGGGTTTAGCCCACGGAGGGCTCCAGTCCCAGAGTTTAGCCCAGTGAGGCCTCCAGTCCCCGAGTATAGCCCAGTGACGTTCCCAGGTTTAGCCCACGGAGGTCTCCTGTTCCCGGGTTTAGCACAGTGAGGGCCCCAGTCCCCGAGTTTAGCCCAGTGAGGGCCCTAGTCCCCGAGTTTAGCCCAAGGAGGGCTCCAGTTCCCTTGTCCAGACCAAGGAGGGCTCCAGTCCCCATGTTCAGCCCAAGGAGGGCTCCAGTTCCCACTTCCAGCCCAGGGATGGCCACAGTTCCCGAGGTAGGCCTACGGAAGGCCTCTAAAGACTATTTTCTCCCCAAGGATTTTTTTTTGGGGGGGGGTTGATAGTAGGGGTCCATCCGTGGAGGCCGGGCCGAGTGTCGAGGCCAGGCTCCCCGTGCTCCCTGCTCCACCTTGGCCTCCTGAACTGTTTGCTCTGCCATGGCTCCCTGCTCCGCTATGGCCCCCCGAGCTCCCTGCTCCGCCATGGCGCCCCGAACTGCCAGATCTGCCATGGGTCCCGGAAAGGGCGTCTCCCTGGAGGCCTTCCTTCCTGGAACCCTGCTCCGAGAGGAGTGCCCACCGCCCCCTCCTCCGTTGGATGTTGTACGGCGAGGGGAACACCTTCCGGGAGGGGGAAGTTATGTCAGACTTTGTTCCTTGTTTTGTATGTGTTTTGGTCCCCATGTACCTTCCTTGCCCTTATTTGGTCCCCTTCCTGTTCCTGTCCTATTTATGTTCTTTAGTCCCAGTATTGTCTTATATTGAATGTTCGTCCGAGTGCTACATGTGTTTTCCTCGTTCCCTTGTATCCATTAAAATCTCTCGATTGATGTACTCCTTGTCTCCTTTGTTCCTCGCTCCGCACTCCTCACAGTCAGTGGCGGCTCTTGGGTTTTAAAATAGAGGAGGCACACTAATTGTATTGGTCTGGGGATCCCTGCCGATTATTATTATTATT